ACTATCAATAAGCATTTGCTTATCGAATAGTAGACTATTGTTGGGAGTTGCAGAGGCATGATGGGTTGATGTTGTCAACTGGTGGGCTAGTCAAAACCAGGACAAACTCCTGGGGTTCAGTATTGTCCAGGACACGCACACACACACGTCAGGACATTCACAGAAGAACTGGATGTGTACTCATACTTGTACATCAAAATGTTTAAATATCATTGCATGCTTTTGATCAGCAGGCAATAGCAGGGCCACTGTATCTCAGGGTCAAGCTGATCCTTACCTAGCAAGTTAGTTTAGATATACTACTGAAACTCTCTCTGTAAAATAGACTTTGTGTACAATTCTTGTTGAATTAAACATGAGTACTGCAGGGGCATAATGTGTATCCAGCTAAAACACAGAAGGGTAAAAAGTTTTCATTGTTTTGCTTTAAATTCTTGCAAGGAATATGAAAATGTTCGCCAACAGCATGAGGAGGTGAAACAAAGCCGTGATCGTGCAAAGGAAGAATTGAAAAAACTACAACAAGCAAAGTCTCCAATGACACAACAAATCCAAGAAGTTGAAAAGCAATGGAAAAATTTGGATTTAAAAATCAAAGAGAAGGTATGCACTTTGGATTCTCGGTTAAAATATTTAGACGTTCCATGTGTCCAATAAAGCTGAAAATGGAGCGTGAAGCAATTAGAATGTTCATTTTTGTATAGTAGAAGAAGCATATTTTTTGGATGGATTTTAATGCAAATCCTCTTGCTCAGGCCCCCTCTTCTCACCTCAACACAAGCCCCTTCCTCCCCTCCCCCCCCCCCCCCCCTTCCCCTTAGTTATCCCCCTGTCCCTTCCCTACCTTTCTACCTTGGACGTGGAAAGCAGTTTGTGGGGGCTGGATCTGGGGCCACGGTGCTATTTTTGGTCCCGCAGTCCTGGCCCCTGAAGCTCCCGCATCCCCAACCCCAGGTGCTCCTGGGGTCAGACTGTGTGCTGGGACTGGAGCAGAGGCCACCCGCACTGCTATTTTTAATACCATGCTCCTGGCTCCTGTGGAACCTCAGTACTAAAAAAAGCACCCCAGTGGCCCTGGCTCCAGCTGGAGTGAAGTGGCAGCCTCATGAGGCTCGTTACAGCTGGGGCAGCCTTACTGGAACGGGCCTCCTGCGGCTGCCGATTTGCTCCAGCTGGAGCTGGGGTACGCGAGGTGAGGCTGTTCTGGCTGGGACATCCATACCGAAACCGCTTCCCTTCACATGCCCCGGCTCCAGGTAGAGAAAATGTGTGGCTACCATCGCCACTGCCACCACTCACCTTCCATTCCAGCAGGAAGGTGAGGGGTGAGTGCTGCTGAGCAGCTCTTAAAATGATGTGGGTGGACCGCAGCTTAGAGGGAACACTGGCACAGTGGTCCCAGCTCGAGCCCAGAGGCTCTTGCTACATTTAAAATGCAGAGCCGCAGTGGTCTAGAACCAGTGCGAGACGGGACTGCTCAGTTCTGGCTCAAGATGGCTCTTGGAGCTACCCTCACTGCGGCTGTGCAGATTGGTCCCCTTCAAATTATACTGACTACATGATTACCCAAATAACCACTCTTTAACATCCTTAATATGAATTGTCTGATAGCAAATATCCCCCACTCCAATACTCTGACATAAGACAGGAAAATGAATTCTTTCTGAAGTATCTAGCTGGTGGGTCCTGCTGACATAGTCTGGGTCCAGCTGTTCATTGTATTTTCTCCAGAGGTTAAAAAAGCCAAAGATCTTTCTCATCATATTGGGGCACAGATCACTTGGTTTAAGCTAGCATAACTGATAAAATGAAAATCATTTGTACACATACCTGGGTAACACAGTTTAAGTAGCTTTATTCTTTTTATCAAGTTCTTTCTTTAAAAGAAACTCAATAGTATTAACTTGGTGAATGATGATTTAATATATTTAATGTGGAATTTAACAATTTATTTTAATCAGGAGAACCTTTTATATCATTTTAAATTGGAGCTTGTGTAAATAATATTTTATTTTTTATCAGTTAGGATCTAGTTTTGCTTTCACTGAGGATAATTTAAGATTGACCATTGATTTTTAGTGAGAGAAGAACTTGGCTCAGCTCATCATTTGTTTTGCTCTGGCAAATTAAGTGGATTGTACTGTGCAATATCACTTTTCAGTAGCAAATATTTATGCCAGAAATTTGAACAGGTATCATTAGTGTGATTCTGAGTGTAAAGTCTCTTTCTACTTTGTTTTTAAGAGATAAATGCAAGGTCAGCAATCTTTGGCATGCAGACCATTGGGGTAATCCACTGGTAGACCACAACACAGTATGTGTATGTTGAGCAGTTTGCTGTTCCATGCCAATGGGAGCTGCGGGAACGGGTGCAGGCCACAGAGAACATACTGGCTCCTGCTTCCTGCAGCTCCCATTGGCTGGGAATGGCAAAACAGCCATTGGGAGCTGATGCTCAAAGTAAACAAACTCTCTATTGTTCAAGCAATTCAAAGACAAAACATTTTTGCTAAACTAGTCCACTACAAATAAATGAATGCAAACAAGTTTGCATTTCATGCTGTACAAAAGTGCTCTCAAAAATGTTTAAAATTTTTGGCTGCTAATGACTTTTTTAAAACAATTTGCACTATTTCCTGTTTTGTTGTAAAAGTATGCTTCCTTAGGGGGAATTTAACAGCTGGAAGCCGGAGATTAATTTGCATAATACTATATAGTCCTCCATGCTTGTTAAATACCAAGCTGCATTTGCACAGCTTGGTATTATCTGCTTATTTTAATCATTTTCTTGTTTTTAATTAATGTTTTTACTGATTTCTAAGAGCAGGAGGAAATTCTTTTGTGAACCACTGTTGTCATAATGCTTGGAAATACAGGGCTGTATTGATGAAAAAGTGATGCTCTGTGTGAGAAACACAGGAAAATATTTTCTTCTTTGAGTGCTTGCTCATGTAAATTCCATTCTAGGTGTGCATGCACCCACGTGAGCAGTCATCAGAGATTTTTGCCTTAGCAGTATCGGTAGGGCCAGCTGTGGCATGCTCTGTAGTCCTGAACTCATGCTGTGGTATGTTAGACACCACTATCCCTATGCCCTTTCAGCTACACTTGCTATCCTTGGTGGCCGCTTCTGTCACTTGTTTTGCAAGCAGTTCTTTCTCTTGTCTTAGCATTGTGCTTCTAGTTGTAAATAGTTCTGTTAATTAGTAGTTAACTAACTGAACACTTAATGGTTACTTAGGATCCCACGTGAGGCATGCCCTGGTTTCAAGGTTTTGACCCCTGCTCCATGTGTAACAGCACTGAAAGGCCTGGAGCATCTTTACCTGCATGTCTGGGACCTTGTACCCCTTGGGACCTGAATCTTGTGTTATCAAGGCTCATGGGTGCTCCCTTCAAGACCCTAGCTTCCTGCTCCTTCCTGCTTCTCTCCTGAAAGATCTCCTTCCTAGTCTCTAACTTAGGCCCGTCGAGTGCCTAAAAAAAGAGTGCTAGAATCTGAATCCCCTTACACGGTCTTCTATAAGGACAAGGTCCATCTGCAGCTGCACTCAGCTTTTCTGCCCCTGGTTCCATATTGGTCAAGACCTATACTTGCTAGTCCTTTGTCCAAAGCTTTACTTGACCCATGAGGAATGCAGGTTGCATACCCTGGATGTGAGATAGGCCTTCTACATAAATAGAACAAAGCTGTTTCATAAGTTGAAACAGTTTGTGGAAATTGCAGACAAGATGAAAGGTTGCCCAGTAGCTGCACAGAGAATATCTTTGTGGATCACAGCCTGCATCTGCTACTGTTATGAGCTAATCAGGGTGCCCCTATCGCCGACAGTGACTGCTCACTTGACTAGAGCACGGGCGCCCTTGGAAGCCTTCCTCACTCAGGTACCAGTCAAAAAAATATGTTGTGTGGCAGCCTGGGCATCCATCATTCCATTCACGTCACACTGTGTGCTGAACCAGCAAGCTTAAAATGATGAAGGCTTTGGCACAGCTCCAACCTACAAGTCTGTACATTCTAAGTCCATCTTTGAAGATTCCTCTTGAGTCACCTAGAATGGAATTGACATGAGCAAGCACTTGAAGAAACAAAACTATTTTGTTTCTAACCTTTTGTAAACTAATCTTTTAACTATTGTTCTTTGAGATGTGGTGTTCATGTCCATTCCATTACCTGACCTCTTACCCCTCTATCAGAGTTGTGGGCAAGAAGGAACTGAAGGGGCATAGGGTTGGTGGCACTTGATATACAGTGGCATGAGCGTGGTACTCCAGGGGGTAGCCCAGCCCTAAGGATACCACTGAGGCAAAAATCTGCAGTGATCACACATGTGGGCACATGCACACGTATAATGGAATGGACATGAACAACACATCTCAAGTAGGTAGCCATTTTTAAGCATTTTTGTTTTAACTTTCACAGAAAAACAATCATTGTTAGGGGATATGTGCTGTCAATGTCAGATCCAAAGCTAATGGGATGATGAAAATGAGAAAAATAGTGGAGAAGGGTCAGACTATCTTACTGAGTGATATATTTGAATCTACATTGGTTTTCTGAAGTCAGATCAATAAATTCAGTCCCTGATTTTACAAACACTCATTTGTTCATCTCTAAGCAAGTGAGTAGTTCCATGGTGATTTCAGGGCCTGTGAGTATAAATTAGTTTCAGAGAGGTAGCCGAGTTAGTCTGTAACAGGAAAAACTTAAAAAACAGCAAATAGTCTGGTAGTACTTTAAAGACTAACAAAACATGTAGATGGTATCATGAGCTTTCGTGGGCACAACCCACTTCTTCAGATGACTGGAGTATTAGAAGTCCAGATCCAAGAATAAATAAGGTGGGGAGGGAGGAGGGGAAAAAAGAGAGAGAAAAAGGGGGGCGGGAAGAGAGAGAGTAAGTAGATGGTTCAAGTAGTCACAACAGGTTGATAAGAACAATTAGCATCTCCATTGTTTGTTTGGTTAAATCATTAGGATGTGGAAAGTAGTGTGCAAGCCAGCAGATGTCCCGGTTCATACCATTTGCATGAGAATTAAACTTAGAAATGAAGTTAAGTTCCAATCGTTCCCTGTGTATTTGGCTTGTGGAATTGGCCTGAAACAACAGGGTGACTTAAAGATCCATTAATGAGTGTCCAGACAGATTAAACAGGTTTTTGAGTATTTCCTTTTTGGATATCTGATTTGTGTCCATTAATTTTTTCCTGTAGAGACTGTCCAGTTTGGCCAATATACATGGCAGTGGGGCGTTGTTGGCATTCGATCACATAGATTACATTAGTGGATGTATGCCATCAAATGCCAACAATGTCCCACTTCATTTACAAGTTTAATCCTTATGCAAATGGTATGAACAATGACATCAGCTGTCTCCAACACTACCTTCCACATCCTCCAACACTACCTTCCACATCCTAACGACTTAACCTACCAACCAAACAATGGAGATGCTAATAGTTCTAATCAGTCTCTTGTAATTACTTGAACCATCTACTCAGTGTCTCGCTTTCTTTTTCCCTCCCCTCCTTTTCTCTCTTTTTTTTCCCTTCGCCCTCCCACCCCCCTTATTTATTCTTGGATCTGGACTTCTAATACTCCA